AGTATAAACAATTTTAGTAACTTATCACCTCCTCTTAAAATACAACAAATGATCTCTTCTTATATCCCATCTCTTATCTATAAACAAATCTATAAAGCATCATCATTTCAGTCCTGATGTCAGCAAAAGTCCATTAAGGGTTACCACTTTCAAATCAGTCTCAATCTTATCAGGTAGAACTTGTTCCTCTTCCATAACTTCTTTTAAACACAGTCTGTCTATAGAGGCAGACGCTATTAAAATTAACTTCTGGGTCCATTGTTCAAAAATATCCTTCAACAGGTACAATGTTAAAATATTTTGCTTCATTCTGTAATTGCAAATTGAGTTTGAGTGTTCTTCTCCTTTAATTGTAATCTTTAGTTCCCTCTAGTTCCCTCTAGTGTCCAATTTTTAAAGTCTTATCTTATAATATTTTTTTCTTTAAAAAATTCAAATCAAAATTCCCTCTAGTGTCCAATTTTTAAAGTCTTATCTTATAATATTTTTTTCTTTAAAAAATTCAAATCAAAAGCATTTTCCCAAGGGAAGGATTCTTTATAATTAATTCCAAAATCTTATTTCAAATTTATCTGGACCCTTAGTCTGTTTGTAACTTTCTAAAATCACCCTTTTGCAGTTGTAATCACCCTTTTGCAGTTTATTCCAATTTTTTCTTTAAGCTCTTAAACTTGTAGCTAAAACTTCTTTTGCTAAGGATTCAAGGAAACCCACCTGGTGCTGTCAAACCTGTTGATCCAAAGGTTCCTAATAGCTGAAAAGCAGTTAACAAGCAATTTCCAAAAGTGATTAAAAAAGGAAGTATGTGAACTTAGTATCCAAAGGCACCAACCACGGTTTGAACAAGATGGCTATTCCCTTGTCTCCCAGAGCTCTAAACCTGCTGGAGACTGCTGTCTTGTGGTCTCCTTGTAAGAAGCAGCTGTCTGAAGTACTTGTGGGTGATCACAAGTCCTCTCCTTAGCCAGAGGAATTATTGAAGAGCATGTCTACTCACCGACTCTTCATTTCTGCTGCGGTTATCAGGTCCACTTTTCACAGAGCATCTTCAGTCCACCATTTCTTCTCCAGAAGTCGTGAACCTATACATCTCATAGAAAATGCCAATTAAATGCAAGATTCTTGTATGAACATCAAAACCTAAGCTTTAATGTTTGCAGAATTGTGATAAGTTTTTATTTTAAACAAAATACTCATCAGCTAGTCTAAATACTGAATGACAAGACGTATATTTCTAAATTCCATGTGCTCTGTTTACTATAGAAGAAAAAAACAGTAGTAGTAAAAGTGCTAGAAAATACAGAAGAAAATAGGTTAACTGATGAAGATACAGTTGAAGTATTAGTAGTAGAAGTAATAAAAAATAGTTGTACAGCAAGAAAAAAAAGGGGTTTTTTAATCCTAATAGTCCAGCACCATTTTTTTTATCCTAATAGTCCAGCACCATTACTATGTTTTCATTTTCACAGAATGTATAGCTGAGAAGAATGTAAAAATATAGCATTGTGTCACTGCCATCAAGAAGGAAATAAGTATGTTAGCTTTTTTTGTAGTGTTTCAGAATATGATAAAAAAAAAAATCCTTCTTGGTTCAAAATGTATCAGTCATTTTTTTTTTCCATCTAGGATTCTTTTAAAGGAAGGTCAAGTTGGTCATTGTATAAACATTTTCATTGATAAAAAAGTCATCTAGTTCTCTTCCATGTGTCCTGTAGTTGCAATTGTTGCTATATATTAACCTAATTGAGATTGACTTTGGGAGGCAATGATTCAGATGCTCTAAAGCTGACCTTTAAGGATTGCTTTGGATTGTTTGACCTGCCTTAGTTTTGAAGAGTATTATACCATTATTCTTCATGTACTTCATTTACCCAGGGTGAAGCTTTGTGAAGGGGTAGAGTATAAGCTGGATTCAATATATTGTATATAAAGTTCCTATTAGCTTTCTAAGCAATTGACCTCTGAGATTTGGCAGACCATTAATTTAAATAAAGAATTAACCGCTATCTCTGCTGAAATGGAATGCCTCATTGTTGCCTGTGTATTTTCACGGAACTGAACTATTCAGAAAGGAAGATAGGATGGGAAAGAAAAGCAGCCCTGGTACTAAATGCCAGCAGGGCTCCTGCATGCTGTCATGGCAACCAACATGGCTCCTTGCCCAGTACCAGGAACACCAGCAAAATATAAACAGAGGCCTTCATGGGCGAAAGCTCAGTAGAATCACAAAAATTGCTCTGCAGGTTGCACCCAGCGAAGATCTTTTGTGTGCTCTGACGAGTGCTTCTTGTGTTTTCTTCTCTACCTGATTTTCTTTTTAATTTTGTAAAAAGGCTAGCAGGTTTTCCTCAGAATCCATCAAAGGTTATCCCAGTGGTATTTTAACCTTTGGCCTGTGTCCCAGAGTGGTACAAATATAAATAAAGTTGTGTGTTCTTCCACTGTCACAAACTTGTCCAGAAAGCCATTGCATGCTTTAGTGGATAAAATTGTGAATTTGGATGGAGGAGTCCAAAATTCATGTCCCCAATTAGCCACAAAGCTTATTGTTTAGCCCTGAGCAAGAAAATTAACTTGCAATCTAACCTGCATGAAGCTTAAGATAACATTCATCCCTTTAAATATTGAAAAGGCCTGTTGTAATTATTGATAAAAGTAATGGCAGTTTTGCCAAAAATAAGCCAGCATCTTCCATTTCTTCACAAATGTGAATATAGTCAGCACTTTTGATGCGAATGACAGTTTTTTAAAATTACAAACTTGGTAGAGTGATGCTGTTTGTTTACTACTGAATTCATAAGCTGTCATCCTTTGGCTGCACACTTGACTTTGCACTAATGCAACTGGACAGTTGATCTCTTTCTAATTTTCTCTTTTTTCTTTCTTAGGATCCAGGTGAATGACCTTATCGTTGAAGTTGACGGCACCAGTTTGGTGGGCGTGACTCAGAGCTTTGCAGCTTCAGTGCTGAGGAATACCAAGGGTAGAGTCCGGTAGGGGAACAATGTGCAGCCTAGTTTTCTGATGGGACCAGAATATGTAGCCCGTTTATCTGTGTAAAAAATACAGAAAAGCAAAAGTATGATCTCATTGAGAGTTGTACTGCAGCATAGGAAAAAGTTCTATAAGCAGTCATTTTTGTTTCCTGTGAAACCATTGTAGGAGTAAGAGGGCCACTGATAGGTTTTCCTGCCAGCTGTGGTTTTGCTTCTTCTGTTTATATGTCAAGCAGATATAGACTATATTGCCTTAGCAAGTTTATTACATCATGGGGCAGCCAAGGGGCTGTAATTTTAATGGTTTTAAACAATACATTTGGTTCCCAATTGCTGTCAATAGAAGCTTTATCTGCAAATCAAGAGCAATGGAGATACATAGAAATTCACATTGAAAAACAGCATGAATCAGATAAGGATAAAGATTCCCTTTATTGCAGTGTTTTCTACTGATCATACCAAAAAAAAAAAGTAAAAGGAGCTGGATGATTAGATGTTTTTGTGGCAGAGTTTACATATATTATTCTGGCAGGTCATAGAAACTTTTAGCTGCTTCCTAACAGGCAGAAATTCAGCTATTGGATGTGCAGTGATGGAAATTTCACTCATTGAATTAAGTGACGTTATCGCCTTTTTTTAAGGCACAAACATCTTTTGTTGCACTGCTTTGAAACAGAAACAAAAGAACTAATGCAAAGATGCAGGGCAGAAATTCAGTAGATGTAATCTTTCCCCATCATGGAGATCTAGTACTGAAAATGCCTGTTATCCGCAACTGAAGGCCAACTTCGTATTGGTCACATCAAATCATATTACAGTAAACTCTCAATGGGCACTTGGCTTCACATCTAGAATCCTGTGCTTCAGTGCTGACAGGGTGAAACATACTCTTTATTTTAAAGGTCAAATATACCCCATGGCTTAAAATTTTGTTACTGGTGTATTTTGGTATAAGTACACTCTATTCTTTTTGTTGTTTCTTCTAGTTCTAAATGCCCACTTCCAGACTTTTTTTCCTGTCTCACTGGAAATATATATCACCCACATAGTGAATGAAATATTTGCATTACAGGTAGTCCTCATTTAGTGACTGCCTCCTTTAGTGACTGCAGTTATAACAGTGATGAAAAAATAACTTTACAACCAGTTCTCCAATTTATGACCTTCCCAGGTCTGTAAAGCAAAGGAAAACTGCTTTAAAACAAAGGAAAACTGCTGTAAAGCAAAGGAAAATCATAAGCACAGTTGTGGTTTCACTTAGCGACCGCTTTACTTAACAGCCAAGTTGCCAGTCCCAAATTTGGTTGCTAAACAAGGACTTCCTGTATTTCTGCTCCTTTGATAGCATTACTTAGCTACTGTCCTGGTCAAATGCATTTTTAAATAATAACTCTTGTTTATTGGGAGAATGTTATAGATATATGGCAGCTTTTTACTTTCTGTATTCTCCCCCACCCTCACTCCACCCCAATTATCCTTTTCTCCTTCAGAATCTAAAGTTTCATCTAGGCCATCTAGGAAAAAAATGAATGGGAGAAATAGAGAGCACTGTGCTGCTGGATTTCAAAGCATAGGCAAAAGACGAAAAAAATTCTAACCCCACCAGATTAATTATTATGAAGTTTGCAGATTTCTGTTGCTTATGCCGAGAATCCAAAAAATTGTGATCAGAATTGGAAGGGAGAACTGGATGGAAGTTTTAGATTTTTTTTTTTTAAATCGCTTTGGGGAAAATGGTTTATGAAGTAGGCATTTTGTTTCCAATGCAATAGGCAAGAGCCCTTAGCTGGCAATGCTGCCTTGCCAGGTTTGGCTCCATTTTATAGAAACTGAGGCACAGCACCCATTATCTCAGAATGTGCATCTTTGCATTGTGAAAAAGTGTTCCATGTCAGGGCCATTTTCATTTTCTAAGAAATGAATCGAGGATTTTTGAATGGACTTCGGGGGGGTGGGGGGAGGTGATATTGAGCTCTGGGTTGGCTGCATTTTCCTGTCAGCTGTGGTTCTGTTTGTCCTTTATCCATACAGCTGCCTCTGTGGCCTTTTTAAAATCTCACCAGAGGCATTTGGCCTGTCTTTTCCTGGCAGTATTAAGAATTCAAGGTTTGGCATCAGCCCAGCATCCTTGTAATATTGGTTTTAAAAGAATGAGCTGCTTGAAAATGGGCTGTAACCAAACAAATCTAGCACAAGCAGACACAGATGATGAGTGATCACGCAAGGCTCTTTCTACCGGAAGGCCTGTACGATACAGGGATTCAGACCTAGAACTCAGTCCTTTCCTCCGAGATGTACGTGCTGCTCTGTTCCCAGGCGACAGGAACCTCAACTATGAGAATGGGTTGCTAGGCAACTAGTTTCCTCCATATTGCACAGCACCCATTCTGCCTTTGCAGGCAAGAGATTGTATTAACCGGTGAAGTGTTTGGTAATCAATTTAATTGTTGCACTGACACAATTTAGCCATAGTTTCATCTGTTTTTTAAAAAATTACATTGTTCCACGGAATCACAAATCCCTGCCTAGAAGTTGATTTGTGAAAACAGAAAGGGTGGGAGTCTGATAGTCATTTCCTGTAATCTGGAAGGCCAATGCCAACTATGCTGGGAACTTGGTGTCTTTATGGAGTTGTTCAGACATTCATTGGGCATTTGTTCAAAGGCATTCAGCTTTATTCTCCCAGTTCCTGAGCCTTGAAAATCAGCATCGAGGATAGTTGTGCTAGGCCTGACTCAGAGTAAGGTCAGGCTTGAAAACTATGCTGCTTTTTGCCTGTCTATTTCTGGGACACCCAAAACTTTCCTGGCTTTTGATTAGCTCATTTTAATTGCATCATTCAGCCTGCAAACATTGGGAGCACCCCGGGAAATGCTTAGCCCAAATAGATTTGATCCAGAAGTTCCATCTGAATGTAGAAGGTGACACTAGGGTTCCCATTTTTATTGACATACCAGCCGTAGGGAAAAGTGATGTAAGCCTTTTTCTGCACCATGTTTATATTGGAATCTGCTTCTCTTGATGTTATTCCTATTGGTGAGAAAAGATAGGGATCTCTATTTTCCTCCAAGATTAACAGAAATGGCAATGGCTGTTTAAAGAGGCATACTAGTAAAGGGGAAAGAATGAACAGTCCCTCATCCAGCAATATGGTGGTAACCAAATTAAGAAAGCCTGGTAACTGATTTTAAGCACTTAAAAAAAATCTGATCTCATATGCCTGAACACTATGACAATTTATTTTGGCTCTCAGAATTCTCTGATGGGATGACCATTTAGTACTGCAGTAGGCAGTCCATTGCTAATAGATAGCCCCTGCTCAGTTTTGTTTTGTATGTATTTTTGCGTTTGCTAGATACCTGAGATCACATCCCCAGATTTCAGCAGCAAACCACCAAACTGTGGCTGCACAGTTCCTCTATTTTCAGCGAGAAGCAAAGGAACACTGATGTGATAAACCTCAGATAAACTTAGCTAGAACACTTTTAAAACAGCCTCAGGCCCCTCCTTGAACAATGGGGGAGGGGGGAGGCTTCAAGCATGACCCCACTCATCCCAATGAATTTCCTGTTTTTACATAAGTTAACATTTGAAAAGAGACTTTTTTTCAGACTGAAATTAGCTTGCCCATTTCTTGATGTAAGAATTACCCTAGTTTGAAAACAGGAAGTGTGATTTTCTTGAATTTACTGCTTCCTCTATTCCAAAGAATTATTTGAACTAGTCATTAGTTCTGTACTGCCTTAGTAGGCAGTTGGGATTATATATCTACTATGGCCCTTTGCTGCAAAGGAAAAAAAAAACATGCAACCCCAAGCCACTAAAAAGTTAATCACCCCTGAATTAGTAGGAGAAACTGGTGTTGGTCAGCGTTAATCTTTACTCCTTATCATTTGCTGTGGTTGAAGAACTTAGAGTGCAGATAAGCAGATCTGTGCATATTTACTCTAGGATCCTTTACCAGAATACCTTAATGTCTAATATATATACAGCCTGACTACCTAATTCCTGATAAGGTATTCTACCATACTGAGATTTCCCCCATTACATTAATGCCATGCATTCATTCCATTCCCTTTAATTTCCTTTAGGTTCCTTATTGGTAGGGAGAAGCCAGGAGAGCAGAGTGAAGTGGCGCAACTGATCCAGCAGACACTGGAACAAGAACGATGGCAGCGAGAAATGATGGAACAGAGGTATACCCAATATACAGAGGAGGATGAAGAAGTAAGTAGAATCAGTTTCTCTTTGCCTGTGGGGAGGGGAGGGGAGGAGAGGAGAGGAGAGGAGAGGAGAGGAGAGGAGAGGAGAGGAGAGGAGAGGAGAGGAGACTGGTAGAGCTCCAACCTTGAATTCAGGGGAACCCGAATGGCTGTTGCATTTTGTGAAGATTGTTTTAGCTACTGTAATGAAGTTATGCTTTGACTAAAGTTGGAGTGCCCAAGAATTTCCTTAGGCCCCCACCTTTTCCCATAAACTGGTGGACCTCTAGGTCCTGTCTCTTCCTCATCTCTTTTCCTATGCTTCTCATTACTATATTAGCACCTCACACTGAATCTGTGATTATTCAAAAGGTTTAAGCATACTAAAAATATAATTTCTGTATTTTGCTTCAGAAATAATATTGGCTCAGAAAAAGCAGAAATAAGAATGTCCTGGTTTCACATGGGGTAACATTTGACAAGAGATATATCTGGAGAGATGTACAAGTTTAAGACTGAAATAGGAAGTGTAATTTTCTTGAACTTACTGCTTCCTGTATTTCAAAGACTTATTTGAACTATCCTTAGTTTTGTACTGCATTAGTATGCAGTTGGGATTAACATCAGAATGTCTAATGATGAATCCTGTTTTTGTTATTTGTAGACAGGAGAATATGCTACAGATGAAGATGAAGAGATGAGCCCCATGTTCCCCAACAACGAGATGGCCATTGAGGTTTTTGAACTGGCTGAAAATGAAGACATGCTGTCTCCAGTGG